GTAGTCGAGCATTACTCGACTTATGTACATAATCTACGACTAAGTGTGACATGAATAATGCAATGGAATACCCCAGAACACCGGTACCGTATATGGCGAGATTGTGTGGCTAACCGCTAATCTATATTTGACTATTGGTTATAACAGAGTCACAGGGGTATTATAATGAAAATACTGAACAAACAGAGCATCAAGACCATCAATACAAAGTCCCAAAGGTCGTGAGATCGAATCCTTTCACTGCCGTTCATTTTCCCCATTTTTTATTCCCCTGGCAGCCTTTGATTGACTGTAGCCTTCGTCTTTCAGGTTAACGGCTTTCTGCATGTAACAAATATCGCCGGTTACGGTTACTTTACCAAATGTGAGCCAACTGGGCACAGGGCACAAAACACGTAATAAAACACAGTCAACGCCTATATCAACTACATCGTGCAACAGAATGAACTCACCTTGACGAAACTCCTTGAGCATGGCTTCCAAATTTGTGGCATCCAGCACAATGATGATAGAACGGTTGTAAAAATCGCACACGGTCGAGACCGGCACATTGTCCTCTGTGTTGATGAACGCCAAATCTTTCACATTCAGCACAGCCCGGATATTACGACGATCATTTTCAAACACCGGAATCCGTGTGTATCCGTGGGAATAAATATCATTCATGGTGTTAAAGTCGAGCACATCGGAATAGGACAGCATGAATGCGTCGGAAAGCGGAGTCATCACATCGGCCACAGTCTTAGTGGTCAAAGCCAGAGCTCCGGTAATGATATTCATCTCATCCGTGGCAACCGTACCAGCAACTGCCTAAATCACAATGAGAAAAAGAAAAGCGATTCCGCAACAAATATTTGAAACTCAAAGAGAGTGCAAGCATCTACAGTTCACTCTGTCTCAGAACTGGACATTTCGATGACAACAGATGATAACTCGTTTCAGATAACAACTAGATAAGGCTGTTTTACGGATAACGGACACTTTCTTATTTGTTCTCTATCAACATCATCGTTAGAAACCGGGTGACATTCGATGGTGTGATTCCTACCACCCACCCATCCCCCGGAGGATTGAATGGATTATGCAGCTTGGCGGAATAAAACAGCAATCAACCAACTGCAACATACCCCGGTCACAAACTCGCAAGGGGCGCGCAGTTGGATTAAAGGAAAAAAAATACAGCAACAGGGAATATTTGTTTTCACGCGGGAGAAACTTAAAAGTCTCATAGGCTAATTATGAACAGTACTGAAATGATTGATATCAACAAACTCTCTGTCCATCATCACGGGAGTTTGTGTGCATTGCATAATTATTTGTTTGGCATCAATTACACGCACACATGCACATATACATATTTATACACCTAAATCTGTTTTGAAAGTGTGGGCACAAAAAATGAACAACAGCATTTAAAACAGTACATCTTAGTTGTTGTTGTCCAGTTCATGGTCATGCGTTCTTTGTTGATTACGGACAATAAATAATCAAGCCGAGTGTGAACACTTGGATATGGAGTATGTGAGTGGCAGCCGAATATCATCCAATGACTGCAACATGATGGCTAAGGCCATCATACAGTTTAGCTAACAAACTCACAAGGAATGTATTATAGCGATGATATAAATCCTACGCAGATGCATCAAAGCGAGTCTCGGCAACCAGGACAACGGTGAAGTACATTCGCGGTGTATGTGAAATCACCCACGTTCAAGGGTTCTACAATCTCTTTGTATTCTTCAAGTTAAAGGTACATTACCTGTAATGCTTGTAGAATGCAGTAACTAGTCAGAAAACTACTATCCAAGGACGATGGCTTAATTTATGCACAATCGTTATAGTGCAGTTTTAAAAATAGATGCAGCCGATAATTGTAGATATACTTTTCCACACCCTGTTCCGTCATGCGAGGCGCCTGGTGATCCAGAAGAGTTGCGATAGCAAAAAATCTCACGAAGTGAGAAACTTCTATCCTGGAGTTGGTCCTCATACCATTCTGAACAGACGTAGCATAGCTGTACATAGGATCAGCTCAATCCGGTTTGTTTTGCTCACTCTGCACTGAGATGCTCGAATAAGTTTACAGTCAAAAAGCACCGGCCGTTGATAACATTCTAAAGGGCACCAATCTAGAGATTTACACACTGGTGCAAAAATTCAATGAATCTTTCCTGCTTGACCAAAAACAAGTTGTAAGTGTTGTCCACTGGCTATGGTATTCACTGGTATTTTGGTTTGAAATATAGTAACCACGATATAACGGCTAGATCAATCAGATACTTTGTCATCAATGGCAACACGTTCAAAGGATGTCTTGATAAATGGTTATTGTTACGAATTTTGATGACCACGATCGTTTGACTATGTGAGTTCAGGTGCTCATGAAAAAAATAAAATATGAAAATATGGGAAAATATGATGATTCATGGAGTAAAATACGAAAAACGTGGAACAAAAGTCCAGGAAAACTCAATCCTTCTATAAAGAAGCATCAACAAAGACTTTAACCTCGTTTGCCAGCTCATTTGTTCATAGTAAAGTTTCAAGCGACTCATTAGTTTCAATTTGCCATCATAGATTCATTCGGAATATGACAAAACATGAATATACCGTTTGAATCCTGTGCCTCACAATTACCGCGCCCAAAACTTATCTGTTACTACCAGAATTAAAGAATTCCTTATTGGTTTCCTTTTTGTTTTGTTTTTCAACCAAACAAATGGGTAAATCCTCCAATTTATTGCCGTAACAACCAGAAAATGTATTTTGTTGGTTATGCAATATGAACATCACAGAATGTAAAGGCGTTCGGGTTATTACCCAAACGATTTTTCATTGAATGCTGCCTGTCTTTTGTGTCAAAAATAGATATCTGAGAGATCTTTCGGCTACAATCAGGACTACGGAAAGCTTCTCTTGAACTTAAAAAGGTTACAGAGGTCAGTTAATTGAGGGGCATCTCTGTCTGAGCAGGAGCAACTAGAAGCAAAAGGTGATGCACACTTTCCCCTGCTTACCAATACCGCATCGACCGATCCCGTCGTGCGAGGACCTGAAAAACTAGCTTACTTTTATTGATATTTTACACACTATTTAGTCATAATTTATGTGAGATGTACTTATTCCTATCCAAAAAACGACACTAATTTGGCCGATTCTGTTACGTTTTTCAGTTGAATCCCTCAATCTGTAACCTCTTTTTGTCTATATCTCACTCGTTCCTCAGAACTATCCATTTCCTGAGTCAAATCGCAAATTTCGTGGGTGACTCGGAAGGCACGATTACATCCTCAAACGCGAAAAGTCTTTGGAAGTGAAACAATTGTGGGTACGCCAAAATGTTATATGACAAGAATGTAAACGAAATGCACGAAGCAGTGTACAATGGTCTAACAACGATGCTCACATCTCTGTTGACAGTAGTGTATCCCGCTGTCGTGTCAACAAACTGAACCAATCAATAACGCAGCCCAAGTTGATAATCAAAATCTTATTTTAATTGAAGTGCCAACTCGGTTAATGATGAGTGTTGATGGAAACATGAACCCAGAGTCCGCTTTAAAGAGCACTTACGAGAGAGAGAAAAACGGAATCTCAAAAATGTCCAAAGCTTTTTGGTGCTCACATAAAAGCTAATACAAAGTACAACAGAAACTCGTTCAGTGAGCGATGAAGGATAGACCGAACGTGAATGAAGCCAAAGTTGCATTCTCATGAATGCAGATAAATGAAATTAGCAAAATCATATTGCTGTTGTTGCTGTTGTTCTCACTCGCATTCAAACAATCGACTAGTTTGCCAAACAGGTGAGGTGGTTGGACCAGATCGATCAAGTCAGATTTTGAAAGCACCGATTTGGAATGTGCTTGTGGACCAAAAATACATCGTACGATTCAATTTCGGATGAAACAGACAGAGAACTTTGTTTTTGCCGGTTAGCCCAACACGAAACAAACACCACGGAGAAAGGCACTCTGACGTCCGAGGTGAAATAGTCTCAGATCATATGGTTGACATCTCTACTGGTCCACATTCTCGCTATCTTAATGTAGAAAAAAAAATAAAACACGCGGAGACCAGTACACTATGACTGATCGATAAAGAATGGATGAATAAAACAAACGGAGAAAGGAATAGAGGAATGCGGAAAATTGGAGGGGGATAAGCATTACCGCGTTGAATGGGACTGTTTAAGTTTATGTAACAGAATTCCCATCCAGAAATAAATTATGATGATAATGACATTGACGATGCGGAAGTTGCTATTGCTTCGAGTTCTGTTCAAACTAGTAGGTTCCCGAGCTAGAGAAACCGTTATTTATTTGTTTTTGTGAAAACAACTTATTTCTTGCATTAATGCATTTCAACTTGTCGTAATGGGGGAATTCTGAGGTAATTCAAACGAAGCGATTGACCCTTGAATTTGAAGAACTGAAGAAAAAAACAGTGAGGACATTCCAATTGACTGGGGGATTACTGGAGAGAACAATCAGTGTGAATTGTCCTGAACAACTTCTTACGGTCAAAACACAGCTGGAAATCTTGGTCCACTTAGTGTCTGTCGGTCAGCGGACTGCCCAGGCTCTCTCTCTCTTGCTTGTGCTAGTGTGGTAGGGGTGTCCTCAAAGATGTGACTAGCCTGAGTGAGTCACCGATCACACACATTTAACCAGAATACGAGTGTTTAACTAAATTACGATCACACTGACCGAAACTGCATATCCGTATCTAAAAAGGCGTAGAATATTTATGTTGTGTGTCCCAAACAGTACATTTCATGTGCAGAACATTTTCCTATACTAAGCATGCGAATCTACAGAACCCAGATAATGTGTTCCGCGGGGAAGTGTATCGATTTGTTACATGGTAATGCATCTTGAAATTTCAGTGCTGGCTGTTTCGACTCCCAGCCTCCGATGGTTCGAGCCGTGCAAGCAGCTACGGGGACACAAAACATGGTACGCAAGGACGAAACAGCATCCCGGTGATTTGTTGACCTTCACATTCCATTACGAGTGTGATATGCATTGGTTTGTATTCATCCCTGCAATGCGTGAATACTACATGGATAATAGGTGCACAACTGACGGATTAGGCGAAGCGTTCACTTGCAGTCGTTTGTCGATCGGCTGAATCCGATCGAGATCTAGAGTTCGGTAGTGGTGGTATTATACATCTTGAATATGCACATCACAAGTCATACAGTGTCACTATATTTTTCTGAATCTTGTAAATGCAATTGGTGAGTGATCAATGCATCTGGACAACCAAACCGTGTGATCACCGCACATGAGTTGACTTGACTTGATGAAATTGCATACCTTTCCTTCAGACTTGCATTTGGTAATAAAATTTTGCTTCCTATAGTCCTCACAAGTCACCATCATCATCGTACAGCGAAGCAAACTTCCCTGATCGCTGCCAAACTAGACAAACTAGTAGACAAAATAAGTACCAATGAATGAGGATGGGCTTGTTTTGAGGTAGATGGAAAGTGAACCTTTATGGTGAACGTATAGAGTAAACAGTTTGCTTTTGCATACACATCTCGCCAATCATTCCGGTTTGATAGGAGATGGCGACCAAATTGTTCCCGCTCTCGGTTTGCTGTCATGCTCTTTCGCGTTTACAGTCAACCAGTTACAGAGTTCGGAGGTTGACGAGACCTCATAGGCAGCAATCTATTCGATGGTACACGGCTTACAACGCGCGGCCGAGGGACAATATCGTCTCCAGTGTGGAGAAGGATGAGCAAACGGGGAAGGTTGGGGAGAGAAGATTGAGAATGACACAAAGCTGGAGTTTTCTGA